ACATCGAGTTTCCTACACAACCCATTCTCACGCATAGGCACAAACAGCAGTTACATTTGCGAGCCAGCTGGAACACCTCGTATCTCATGCTCTGGTAATAGAAGTTGTCATCCAGGATGATGTAGAGCGGCCCGGACCCGGCTGTGTGCGCGCAGTAACGGCCACCTCCGCCCTCCATGGAGCGGAGCAGCCCTTGCCGCTGGCAGCAGGCCATGAAGCGCTCCCAGGCGGGCTGGCTGGAGGGGCCGGGGGCTGCCAGCGGGTCCCCGGTGAGCAGCGCCCGCAGGAGGCACTCCAAGCACTGCAGCAACGCCCGCCGGCTCTGCTTCCAGTCGGGCAGCTGTGGAGGGAGCAGCACAGGGGTGAAAGCTCGCCCCGGTCCCACATCATCGCCATTACCACAGCCGCTACCACAGAGCTCCCGCCCGCCATGAAGGAAGCGCCGCGTTGCCTGGCAACGGCCGCCGCGCGACCAGTGACGCTCTCGAGCTGGCCAATGGCCGTGCCACGCTGTTCCCGGCTGGCCAATGAGAGCAGCGCACGGCACTGACCGAGGGGTTTGGTTCCGCCCCTGGCTCCCGTGGGCGGAAGGCCTCCGGTGGGATCAACTCGTCGTAGGTGAGGAGCGCGCAGGCCCAGCCCTGGCGCTGCAGCAGGCGGCGGCGCAGGCCGCGGGCCAGGCTGGATTTACCGGCCGCCGGCAGCCCGCAGAGCACGCACAGCCCCACCCGGCCGCCGCCGCCCCGCTCATCGTCATCCCCCGCTGCCGCCTCCAGGGCCGCCGCAACCGCCGCTCCCGCTGCCCAGGCCTGCTGCGCGCATGCGCGGGGCGGGCGGGCGAAGGGGTCGGCGTGGGCCCGGGCGGGACGAAACGGTTTTAGTCACCTCTAATTTGGTAATAAACTGAATAATGGGGTTTAGTGACCCCGGAGGCGTGAGGATAATGAACGGTCCCGGCTATACCCGGCGGTGGCTTTTGTTATCATAAGATATCATTGGGTGTTCTGAGCGTGATCGTTTAAGTTATAATAACGTTATATGCTTGTTAGAAGGTATAAATGATAATAATGTTTAATAATAGCAATTGCAGATGCTAAGTACATAAGGACACTTCTTCGGAAGACCCTCTTTGTCAGTGCTGTTGGTGCCTGCAGCATGTTTTGGGTTGTTCCATCCAGTTCTTCAGTGAAATGGCCATTAAGGGAGCTGGAAATACCACCTTGGTGAGGTGATCCTGGAATTTATTCCCTCTTTTTGGTGGTTCCTATTCCCAGGGCTTACAGGTGAGCGCAGTCAGTGTGGTTTGCTCTCATGTACACACTGACCGGCATCCCCAGCTTCCTCCTGGCCAGCGATTTTTTTCTCCTTGGAGCAGCTGCTTTTCCATGAGCTGTCATTTTGACAACCTGTGTATGTTCATATCAAATAAGTACCACTTCCCAATTGTCCCCTTTAGAGTGATGAAAGTTACCTGTTGCTTCTGTAGTGGAGCCAGATCCTAGAACAAATCTCATACCATGATAACCAGCAGACATTAAACCACTATTGAGTTTATAATGTTATCCCTGTTACACCACATTTTCTGTTACAACAGGAATGGCTTATTCCTTCAAGACTCAGATCCATTATCTACAGAGGTTTTTTCCATTGCTGGTGGCCAATGTGATGTTACTTTTATAGTTGGGTTGGAAGGGATCTTAAAGCTCATATAGTTCCAACCCCCTGCCACAGGCAGGCACACCTTCCACTAGAGCAGCTTGCTCAACTAACTGAAGTGGAAGGTATGCAGGTGACAGGTAGTGAGAGGTGGTATCCAGATCCCAGCTCTGATAGTGCTGCATGGAAGCTGAAGCTTGGAGCAACACACAGGAAAAGCTTGGCCTGTGGGGAACAGGGAATGGCTGCATCGCTGGCAATGTACAGCCAAGAGGATGACCCAGGAGGTAGACAGGCTGCAGACTTCCAGTGGGGTCCGTCTGTGTTCTAATTTTCACAGCAGTGTATGACTAGAGGTGGGTAAATGATGCCTAAATAACTGAATTCACTCCTGTTTGCCTGGCAATTAAGGCTGTGCTTAGAAGAGTCCTGTTCTGTGATGCTCTTCCAGATTTCATCTAACAGGAGCTGAACTTCAGATTTCTGATTTAAAACAAAAATAGGAAGTGAGGTAGAAGAGGTACAAATGCAGCCAGCAGTGACTAGGAGAATAATGGATGTGACAAAATCTGTGTTCAGTGCCTTGTAGCATCAAGTCTTTTCCAGAGGTATGTGCTTTCAGGAAGCATTTTGGCTGCACAAGGAGAGGAATGGAGGACAGCTGTAATTCCTTGTCAGAACTGGATGAGGGTTCCCAAGGAGCTTTTCAGGCAGCTGGTCTAGGTGGGACTGCAGGTCGCTGAGGTCCTGAAGGAGCTGCTGGAAACTGGGTTTGCACTGGCTGCCTGAAGTCAAAACCACATTTTGTGAAGTAGTTCATGACTTGAGACAACTGCTTCTTTAGCATCTTTAAACAGTTGCTAGGATTTATAGATATCTCTCTGCCTGCCCCTCTCCCTAGTAGCATTTACATTGCCATTGTGCTGTTTTCCATACAAGCATTTAGTCTACTATATCTGATATGAGGCTGCATGGAAAATTCTCCTAAACAGGATATGAGACATTAGGAACTTCACAAGGATAAAGCAATGTAAACACAGAAAACATGAAGTTAAAAACCCCAGACTGGTTTGTGTTGGAAGGGACCTTAACGCTCATCCAGTTCCAACCCCCTGCTACAGGCAGGGACACCTTCCACTAGAGCAGGTTGCTCCAAGCCCCATCCAACCTGGCTTTGAACACTGCCAGGGATGGGGCAGCCATCAGGATTCTTTTCTAAAATCTAATCTAAATCTCCCCTCTGCCAGTTTACCCCTTATACTATCCCTATTTGCTTGGTTTTAAACACTACAAACCTTGGACCAGGAAAATGTGGTACAGTAAAGAAATCAGGAGTTGATGTGGCAGGCTGGAAAAGATATTGCAGAAAATCAGGTTAATAGAAAACACAGATTTTGAACTGTAGCTAATATTGACTATTAAGCTAATGGTATTTTAGAACTGCTTTTCATTTTCTGTAACATTCTTCATATTCTCTTGCAACATTTTGGTCTGATACTTTTTATTTTGCTTTATCAGCATTGGATCCACAGCCTGGCTGAGCAGCTTCTCTAGTATGTGGCTGCAGAATTCAAAGTTCAATCTTTGGCTGCTCTGCTAAGTAGCAACCCGTTCCATCCCATACTACTCACAGCCTGTATTGACAGGGCAGACAATAAAGCTTATGCTTACCCAAGCTGAAATCTTATCTAATGATTTATAAGTGATTTTAAATACTTGGTTTCAGTGTATCGGAAGGACACAAAGTCACCAGTAACTATATTAGAGAACAGGCATGGTATAATTTGGATTACTCAACATGAAATAATGCAGGCATGCATCTATCTTACCTGATTACTTCTTGTGTTATGACTTGGTGTGTTATTTTGCTTTGGTTGTTCCACATTGTTATCCCTGAAATAAAAAACATGTCATCAGGAAAATCCCCATGTGGTTTAACCACCTTCAGGGATGAGGCTGCAGTGGTGAGATCAGGATTCCATGTCTGACTCCAGGCCTTTCCAGCCTTGACAGGTGACTTCCATGTGTGTGCCCCTCTGTCCATATAATACAACTATCAGTAATAACTAGGGAAGTGCACTGTATCTGGGGGAAAAATGATTGAGAACTGACAACTGGAGTATCTGGATTAAACTACCTAGTAGCAGAGGACTGGCTCCTATGCAACGTACTGTTAGCTGAGATGATGTTTTCTTTTTGGTGGGCTGGAATTCTTTGTATAGATAAAGCATCTACCCAGCTTGCTAAATGAATCTGGAGCATGCTCCCAGGTGTTGAAATAGGCATTTGTAGTAAGTGAAATACCTGTGTTGTCTTCTGCTTTTCCTGCAAAACTTCCTCCTTATTGCGTCACGTTTAATGACTGCTACTACAGCAACAGTTACAAGTGGCAGCACAAGGAGGAAAAAAATAAGGAGACCATCCCGAAGTGATGTATCTAGAGAAAAAGAATTGGAATAATGTAAGGTAGTAATCTTATTTAACCTCATATTAGAGAATTTTTTTTCTGCTAAAAACCACCTTTCTGTTGTAAAAACTACAGTCTTCAAATTGTCATAGATAAAAACTAGTAACTTCACTGAAATGTTTAGATTCTATGGTCAGAAACATAGGATTTGGCCTTATGTTATTACAAGTTCTTTCTGCCTTACCCACCCCATATTGTTTGATACACAAACTTTTTTCTTTTCCATATATTTTGTCAGGAATTCTAAAGCAAACAAACTCATTTTGTATTTCCTTACCCACAACTGATCTGCACCTCTTCTCGGCCTTCCTAAGCCTCTAATAAATAGAAAACATTTTTTTCCCTTTCCTAAAATAATGAATTTAGAAAAGCTTGATAAAATATTAATTGTTCTTTGCCTCACAAAGCTACAGACGGTGATGAACTTAGCTTGTAAACAGAGAGAGGGGAAACATTTTGTGTGGTCTCAGTGTAAAGGCTCTTACACAAGCTGCTTACAACTGCTGTTGGCTGCATGTACCTCCTTAACCCCTCTCATTTCTGTGAGACCCTTTCCACATATAAAGGCTGCTGTTTTCATAAAGCATAGGCTGATTTGGGTTGGAAAGGACCTTAAGATCATCTAGGTCCAGCTCCCTGCTATGGGTAGGGATGCCTCACACCAGACCATGTTGCCCAAGGCTCTGTCTGACGTGGCCTTGGAACACGGGGAACACGTGGCCTTGGAAATGCCATGGGGGAGCATTTACCATTTCTATTGCTCAAGCTATAGCCTTCCTCTATTAAATCCATTGTATCAGAACTCTGTTTTAAATACCTAAGTAAATATCTAAATATTTAACAACAATGTAACAGTAATTCTGAGCAACTAATGTATTGCTTTTTAGCTCAGACAAAACAGCTCAGATTCTCCCTTGGACCACCTCCCTTGATGTCTGCAGACATACAGCTCTGGTAATAACATCTGCTCTTCAACTTAGTCCATGATTAAGTGTTCCATGTAGTAGAAAAAAACGGTCGAAAAGTGACTGAAGCCCCCTGTTATTAGTAGATCAACAGCCATGGGGAGCAGAATGAAGGCCAGTTTCACAATCTTACCTATGTGAGCTGGACCACTGTCAATGCTGCCCCCGTAGCCTGACCGGTTACAGAATGGAGGCGCCCATCCAGAGTTGCAGTGGCAGTTCCCGTTGTTGTTACACACCTACGGTGGATACAACAGGGATTAGTCAAGCAAATGCCTTTTGGAAGTGGCTGCTCTCAACCTCCAGTGTATATTTGGAGTTCCACATGGAAGAGTGCATGTGGAAACAAGAAATATGGCATAATATTGTATAGAAATACACAAAGTAATAACCAGGAATAAGCTCTCCCCCTCCATCCCAAAACACTGAGTGATACTGATACTGCAAGTTAATTCTCTATAGACATTAAACTTTGGGGTTTTATTTGCCTGCAATAGATTATAGTCCAGAGAACTCAGATTTAAAACCTTTGGACTCCATTTTGATCTTTCATGGAAACATTTGTAAGTGAGGAATCACTTGTCCTTGTCAAAGGAATATTTTCCTTTTATAATTCCACAGCTCACTAGTAATAGAAAATTCCCTAGGGATATTCAGAAAAAATGCCTTTCAATGTCAGTGCTAAGCAGTTTACAGTGTACTGACACATGAATTACAGATAAAAAGGTGGACTTAACTTTTAATACAGGTGAGAAAACCCCAAAGCCATCTGTCTGGTTATTGCTTTTATGCAGGGATTTTGCACCTCTCTTTGTCTTCTAGAAACAGGGCATGAAGACACCATCTACTCACCCCATTGTCGTTACACTTCTGCTTTACATCACAGCTATAGCCCAGATTACTTGCATCAACACATTCAAAATCCAAACAGGCCTGGAAAAAGTAATTGGTGTCTTTCAAACTCCAAACTTCAAAAAATCCTGTCCTTTTAGAAATAGGTAAATGTATGTGCTTAGAATTCTGCAACTTTTACTTAGATGTCCAGAAAAAGGGCTGGTAGAACATTCAGTACTTCACAATTTTATAGTTGGATTTGTTGCAGAGAAGTCTGTGGATGCATTTTGATGAGTAATTTGGAAAACTGATAATATAGCTCATTGGTTTGTAGCATCCCAGTTTTTGACGAGCTAATTGTGTGTGTGTATCTCAAAAAGGAGATTTTTTCCTTATGGCATACAAATAAGAGAGCTGTGTAATGATTCTGAAAGTTCTGAACTTCCCAGTTGGTGAAATACATTCTTTAATGCTGCTGTGATTCATCCTACCTTCTTTTCTCCGCAGGCTGTTCCATCATGAACTTGAGCAGGATCAGGGACATCTGATCCTAAGTCAAAGTCAGAAGACCAGCATAAAACCCCAGATGCGTTATTGACAACGCTCCAGGCAGGAAGGTTTTGAAGACTAACAGATGTGCACTGGAGCTTGCCACACAGACTATGCCTGTATTGAATGAAAGACACTCAGAAACAAGGTGAACAGGGAAAAAAAACTCACAGTTTCAGTGCAAATACACCATCCAGTCAAACCTTTTAGCTTGCATTTCAAGGAAATCCTCTTTTAAATCTTATGCTTTAGGAGTTTGTAACAGAATATATATTTTTTCCATTGTAGATTTTAGAGTTAGCTTTTATTTGTTGGTGACTTACTGAACAGGACATTTCTTGTACACTCCACCTTTCATTCCACAGTTTCCAAACCTGTCTCCTTTAATATTTGCTCTTTCAAAGCATGCATCAGGTGCTTTTCGTGCCCCTGTACAAAAAGCAGTGAATCTTAGTAAGCTACTACAGTCTGAAAAATAGGAGAAACAAAAAGAAATATTAGGAATATCTATTAGGAGACTGCAAGTCTTTTCACATTAAATTATCAACATACCTTTTCCATATATAGATTCACATTGTGAATCAAAACTCTGGCATACTCCATAGTAGCAATAAGCCTTCATGTTGCTGCATGGGTAACCGTTCATGATATAAACATCCTCTGGGCAGTAGGCATCGCTTCCATTGCAGTACTCGGGTAGGTCACAGAAGTCCATTTTTGATCTGCACTCTGTTCCTGCCACTTTAAACTGGAAGCAGAGAGGAATGCCACCCTACTTTTATTTTGCAACAGCAGAAGTGCTGACACAAAACAATGACAACTGGGAGCCTTTGGGGATTTTAAGGAAGACAAAGCAGTTTTGGGGATCAGTTATCTAACGAATATCCAAAACTTCCCTCAGTTTCATATGTTGTAGCTACAGTTTATGAGCTGAGCCTACACAGGACTTGGGTAGATCAGACAAATATGTACACAAGTATCAATTTAAAAGCAGCCAGCTGTCACAGATTTGGGAGAGCCTTGGTGTTGCATAATGGAGATCACTACTACTGAGTCACCTGGTTGCTCCTGCCTCCTACGAGGGGTGACACAGAGATGATATTCCATTTCTAAGCTAGTGCCTGAGAGTTGTTGGACACAAAGTCACTGCTTACATGCTTCCTACTGGTGAATATAGCTTGATAATGGGAAAGTATATTGAGTGCTATGATAGCTCTTTTCGAACATTAAAAAACACTAGTAAATAGTATTAATTTAGCTTAATACGACAGTCTACCTTGCAGTTCTTGCAGCACAGTCCTTGAGCACATTGCGATCCAGGCGTGAGTTTGCAGGTTGCAGCATCACAGCAAGGGTTAGCACATTCCTGAAGAACAACCATGGACAAGGGGACACAACGTTTTTACATTGCTCTACAGCTAGGAAACGACATGATCAAACCAAGTGCATGGACAAACCAGACTTTAAACACACTGTCTCTTTTGTGTGTTCTGAGCTTGACAGCTTTCTGCTCTAACAGGAACCAGCACAGTTCGGCTGTATTTTCTTACTACAAGTCATCAGAAAAACATCTGTGTTTTGATGTGTTGTGGCACGGGGGCATAGGATATGTTTACACTTTAAATGGACACTAAAAGAAGCAGAACACATGGGGGTTACTCCTTATCATTCCTTCTCCTGTCTTATTTTTCCACTACACTAGCAGTGATTTTAGGCTATTACTAACATTTATCTTCATATTGCTTGCCAAGATGTAACGTTACAAGGAAAACTCCTCAGATATTAATGAAAATACTGAAAGGCCAGCATTATACAATAAATATAGCAACAAATATCATAACACAATATAGAGCAAGTATCCAATTGAATTTAATTCATTACCTCTGGTTTGCCACAGTCACATTCTTCATTACTATCGACCACGTTATTGCCACAGACAGGTTCCTTGTAAACATTACTTGTTTTGGGAGGATTTCTAAGGCAGTTTCCTCCTCCACTGAGAATAAGGTTCTCAAAATCATCAGCACTGCAGGTGCTGAAATTCCTGGATCCACTGGAAAGCATAATATTACTTTTTTATTATAAGCATTTTGCTTACAGGGAATAATACAACTCAAGCCCTTAAAATATTGTTCGTCTATAATAAATAGCATGTTTTATAATGCTGGGAGAGCACGAGATAGTTTATTTTGACTATTTTGCAATACAGTATAGTACTAAAAGTTTAAAATAATATTTATAACATAAATGAAGTACTTTCAGAAGTCAAAGAGATCATCAGATTATCCACTCTGGCATCCTATATAAAACAGGCCTTAGAAATCTCTTTTGTGTAATGAGTCTGAATATGCTTGATTCAAAAGTACTTTCCAGAAAGGCATCCACCTTACTTTGAGTCCCTAAGAACGCATGAATACATCTTATTATAGTAGTTTTGTCCAGTGTTCAGTTACCCTGATTTATTAATACAAATTAAGATAGATAAAATAATATGATCTTTTTCTCATAAGGGGAAGCCAAAGAGCAAGTGAACTTAAAGAAGTATCAGCTGAGAGGTTTGGTTTAAATTAACTGTTAAGAATGTGTGTGAAGGATACACATTTGCATGAAGCCAGTGAATATACATAAAGGATTCTCAGTTCTCAGCAGGGTAAAAAAAACAGCAACACACTATCATTAAAATAAATAATTAGGAAAATCCAGTTTTTAGGAATGCTACAAATAAAAAATTACTGGATTGGAAAAAAAAATACAAAGTTTCACATAAGTTAAAATGGTTAAGTCCTAACTCAGTGAATTCACCTCTGTGATTAAACCTTTCAAACTAATCCCCATTCAAAAAAGTTCTTCAGTATCCATGGGAGATTCACAGCTTCTAAGGCATAGTCACTGCAGATAAATAACAATTATTGAAATAAAACAACTGGAAATCTTACTTATCTGTGCTGTGCATAATATAGGATGCAGGACACCTTGTGTCATCATGTTTCATTCCAAGATTATGCCCCAATTCATGAGCAACTACTGTAGCATGACGCAACACATTGTCATGATTCAACTAATAGAGAGAATCAGTGTTAAAAAAATTGTGACACTAAAGAAAATACTGTGTTATTATTGATTTATTCAAGCCCCAAAGCTCTCAGAGGCTGTGAAGACAGAATACGGAATTGTTTTGCAGAGCAGAAGCAGCAAGAACTAACAATTTACCACTTTATTTTCAGGTAGGGCCAAATTCTGCCACTCTTTGTATTCCTTCCATTAGGATCATGTTCTGAATATTAACAGTTGGCAGCTGGACCAGAGGATCATGCTCTGTGTGGCAGTGTTCAAGGCCAGCTTGGACAGGGCTTGGAGCAAGTTGCTCTAGTGGAAGGTGTCCCTGCCTGTGGCAGGGGGTTGGAACTGGGTGAGCTTTAAGGTCCCATCCAACACAAACCAGTCTGGGATTCTGCAATCATTGTAAGTTGTTTCCAACTGAAATAATTCTGTTCTATTCTAACACAGTTAATCGCTCATGACACTGATTTCAATGGAGTCTTCAATGACAAATGTACTGTTAAAGAACAACTGTTCTGTTAAAGAACAGAATCTGCTTCTGAGATTGTCCATGGCATTGTGGCGTTCATACTGTAAGGACAGGGACCTCTGGAGATACAATTCTGCCCCAAGGGTGATGGAGGAAAAAATACGTTCTTACTAATTTTGCCATCTTTAAAATTTTTGCCTATTTACAGCCTTACTGTGGGGAAATCCTGACACTTGAGAATATAGTGTTATGTTCACTTTCTATCCATGTAAAGAGTAGAAAAATACACAGTTTTGTAGCTGCATCCCCAGAACACTGTGGTTATGAACTTTAATGGTATGAGGATGGCTTTTTCTTATGCAACCTTGAGTTAGATGAATTACAAAAGGTGACCAAAAAGTTATTTCAGGACTAAATCAGCCAAATGGACTGGAATGTGATGAAGGGAGATGAGGGAAATTGGGAAATACGCAAAAAGTTTTAAATATGCACAAGTCTTTACATAAGAAACCCCATGAAAGGAACTGTACAACTCCAAGCCTCGTCTCTGAGACTGGGGTGACTTGATCAAATAGATCAGCAAAGGGCATGTTACTTATTAGGCTGTACTTCTATGGAGACAACGTCTGCCAATAGCAGTACCTACAACCATGTGTATTGTAAATGCACAGGGGAAAGCCTTCAGGTGTCCCACTAGCAGGATATCTGTGATGGTTTAGCAGCTCCAGTGCTAGTTTCTTCCATTAACCACAACATTGTGTACTTACAGTGCTGATTGACCCTCCCTGGACTTGTGAGCAGACGGTACCCACAAAAGCCATTCCAATGGATCCACTGTAAGAGCTTCTCCCTCTGCAACAAAAGCAGTTTAAAGGTGGTGTTGAAAGAGGGGCTGAATGTTTAAAAGTTCTACTAAAAGGCAGTGATGAGTTTGAAACAAAAATTGCAAGGCAAATTTTGGTCTTGAAGTCAAGAAGAAATACATCACCATATCAGGGTTTCACTATAATTAACAATGAATACCTGAATAAATTAGCTTGAAAACAATGATAAGTCACCCAAGCCTGCTGTGACAGTGTTTCTGAGTTCACAGAACCACAGAATGGTTGAGGTTGGAAGGGGCCTCTGGAGGTCATTTGGTCCAGCTCCCCCCCTGCTTAAGTAGAGCCACCTCGAATTGATTATCTGTAAATAATTCATTATAGTTTCTTGTCTATAAATGTTGAAAGCTGAATGAATTTTACTCCAGTTGTATTTTCATTCATACACAACCCCTAAACCATACACATCAGCAACACTGGCAGTGTGGGTAGTTCTTCCACTGCATGAAAACTTACATGATGAGGTGGCCAACATCATTTCTTGATCGTTTAAGAAGATCTTTCTGTCTCCAAGAGACAAATCTGCTGAGCACATCTCCAGCTGACCCTTCCATCACAGATATGTGGTTTGTGTCTGTCCAGATCTCTAATCCAACCAGAACAATCTGGATGTTTAATGCTGCATACATCTGGAAAAAAACACAGTGATAATTGCTATACATCAGTCTGTTTCAAATGAATTATGACAGATTGCATCACTGCTACTGAGTAAACAGTAAGTTCAACACAGTGATGAGACATAACTTTATTTGAAATTAAATATAAAATATTAGTATTTATAAATTAAAACAGCTACAGGTTGAGCAAAGAAGAGATTCAGAGCAGTCCTGCGGAGAAGGACTTGGGGGTGTTGGTCGATGAGAAAATGAACATGAGCCGGCTTCAGTGTGCGCTCGCAGCCCAGAAAGCAACCGTATCCTGGGCTGCATCAAAAGGAGCGTGACCAGCAGGTCGAAGGAGGTGATCCTGCCCCTCTACTCTGCTCTTATGAGACCTCACTTGGAGTATTGTGTGCAGTTCTGGTGTCCTCAACATAAAAGGACATGGAACTGTTGGAACAAGTCCAGAGGAGGCCATGAGGATGCTCAGGGGACTGGAGCACCTCCTGTATGAAGACAGGCTGAGAAAGTTGGGGATGTTCAGCCTGGAGAAGAGAAGACTGCGTGGAGACGTCATAGCAGCCTTCCAGTATCTGAAGGGGGCCTATAGGGATGGTGGAGAGGGACTCTTCATTAGGGACTGAAGGGGTAATGGGTTCAAACTTAAACAGGGGGTTTAGATTGGATCTAAGGAAGAAGTTCTTTACTGTAAGGGTGGTGAGGCACTGGAATGGGTTGCCTAAAGAAGTTGTGAATGCTCCATCCCTGGTGGTGTTCAAGGCCAGTTTGGACAGAGCCTTGGGCGAGTTGGTTTAGTGTGAGGTGTCCCTGCCCATGGCAGGGGGGTTGGAACTAGATGATCTTAAGGTCCTTTCCAACCCTAACTATTCCATGATTCTATAAAATATATTTATGAAATATAAACTAAATATATGTGTTTATAATATAAAACTAAATAACATATGACTGAAGTCAGTCTACTTCATGAAGTTACCTAAACATATCTCTCATTTGGAGAAGTTGGAAAGATGATGTTCATTCATTTTCTTAGCTGTCTTAAGGAGAAACTGGGAACAGATCAGTAGTAGAAACTACTGAATCTAGGCAATGTATCTGACCTACCCCATCAACATAGTTAATCAGCTCAACTGTTTCCTTTTGCACTGCAGCAGCGTCAGATTTCTTCATCAAAAACTGTAAAATACCATGGAAGAACGTCAAAGAAAGAAATTAATGGAATATTAAAATGTATTTAGCATTGGATGATATCATTACCCTGTTGTTATCCACAACCACAAATAATTCCACATAGCTTTTCTGTGGCAGGACAGCTCGCTTCATCTGCAAATTAGAAAGCACAGGAAGTTAATATAAGAATTAACAAGTTCAAGGTTCTTTACTTATCTTTCTCATGATTTTCTTTTCAGGTGCTTATAAAGCAGTGATGCATTTTTTAAGATGGTCTCAAAGGTCAATTTGCTCTGTTTTTCCACACTAATACTTGTATATCAGTAATCCACATCTGGTCAGACACTGGGATGCATGAGCTGGGTGGCAGCTTCATGCCTTTCATGTCATACCCATGACTGCCTTGGGCAGACCTCTGCTCTTCTGCTAAAGGATTGCTTCAAGCTGTGTTAAATTGTGCTGTTCTTCTGTTTCAGGATGTCCTTAGTGATACTCCCACCAATTTGAGGGCCATGAACATGAAGGCAAAACCCACCTGCTGTGACACCATGCCCAAGCAAGAGCTCTGGAGACCTTTGGCTGCTGGGATGGACTGAGGAGGTGGCTTGGACTGAAGCTCTCAAGAGAGAAACAGAAATGTATTTACCCTCAAAAGCTTCTCCCTGCTAGAGGTACTGTTTGAAACAAAGGTGTATTTCACAGCCTGCTTCACAAACGACTCCTCGTGATGAAGGCTGCTGTTCAGCACACCACACCGGAAGGGGATATCCTGCATATCTTCTGACTGGTAAAACACATGTTCAAACGTGCTGGATGCGTTGAGTGGCTCCATTCCATACCATTTACCACCAATGTAGAGAATTCCTCTAATAATGATAAAAGAATGAATAATTATTCCACAGGTGTTCCCTCGTGGTTATGACTAGATGATTGAATGACAGCTGGATACTTAGAAACTAGAACTGTTCATACCACTTTGTTGAAATGAATTATTATCTTACATTATCTTAATATAGGGTGTAAGTTCAAATGACTGAAAGGGTCTCTTTTAGTCCTTATCTCTAGTCTCACTCCTAGCCCCATGCAGCTAAAGTAACCTAGTATTTTAGAAAAAGATATTTTCTAAGACACAGAGAGAGGCTAAAAGCAATCACCAGGGTGTTTGTGAGGGCAACAGCAGTATTGCACTGCTGAGTGCATTTGTCCATGGCTCATAAACACCCGGTCCGTGCCCATTTGCTGTTCTTTTAGAGCCTATTATCTTGCTTTCCACAATCTCAAACTATATTTAGAACAAGAATTCTCTAGTTAATATCTTGTGAAAGAAGATCTTCAAAAACGTGAGTACGAAGTAGCCAAAGGATTTGAGTCTGATTAAGTTTTGCAGAACAGTCAAAATGGAGTATCTGTTCTGCTTACTGAGATCCGGCATTACCTGAAACACCAGTATGTTGACCATTTTATTCTTCAGTTAAAGGAATGCCAGAAGTGTCATTATTTGTTGTGAGTGGCATCTCACTGTGATATTATCAATGAAAGATATGTGGGTGATCTTTATCCCGTTTTCCTCTTTCTCCTTGTCAAAAAGACATCAAACTGAACAAGCCTACTACATGCAACAGGTATATCCAAAGTCCAGCTAAAAAGCCCAGCTCAGTGAACACCAGGGAGCATGGACACACTCTAAGCACATTCTGAGTATCTGCAGCATGTGGTGTGTGTGCCATCTCATTTTATCAACTCGTGGACTGATTCTGCAGGGAGAAACAATTGCCCTTTATGCATTAATCTGGTCCCTGTATGTTTCTCCAATTAATGTAATTTTATTGGTTTTGAAACACAAATTGAGGAAAGGCTGAGAGAGCTGGGTTTGTTCAGCCTCCAGAAAAGAGGCCTCAGGGGAGACCTTGTCACCATGTTCCAGTATGTAAAGGGTGGCTACAAAAAAGATGGAGACTCCCTTGTTACAAGGAGTCACATGGAAAAGACAAGAGGTGATGGGCACAAGTTACTCCGGGGGAGCTTCTGACTGGACAAGAGAGCAAAGTTCTTCACCATGAGAACAACCAGCCATTGGAATAATCTCCCCAGGGAAGTGGTGGATTCACCAACATTGGACACTTAAGATTTAGCTGGACAGGGTGCTGGGACATCTAGTCTAGGTCATGCTCATGCCAAGAAAGGTTGGACCAGATGATTCCTAACATCCCTTCCAACCTGGGATTCTATGGTATGATCGAGTGTCTTAAGTTCAGTGAAAGCTCCATCAGATTGTTTTTCTTCTACAAAGGTGTCTCTCGTCAAGACATTTGCATCACGTAATAGAGGCTTCAGCTCATGCCTGTGTTTTGCTTATGTTTAGATTATGCTCTCTCACTTTATCCTTTCTCTGTGAAGGAATTTTGGGAAAAGGGAAAAAAGGTGTAGCTGAGGGAAACTATAAAACCTGTAAAGAGCTTCAGCTTCATCAAAAGGTGAAATATTGAAAGTATTTTAAAAGATTTGCAAGATAGGATGGTGTTTTTCAGCTGTGTGATGAATTTTACTGTTTTACATTGGTACTGCACAATGAATTACCCTGAAGTAACAAGCAAAAGTTAATACCTAAGGCCATCGCATGTGCTAAGAGCAAGCACCGAGTCAGCAATTCCTTCAACAGTGCCATGGTAATAACAGTGTGTCTGAAATGCAACAAAACCACGTGATTAATGACAAAATAAAGTTGTTGCCTTCAAATGCAAAGTCATTTTCTAACTAACCTTTGTATTTGCATGACATTAAGTCTGGCTGTTATGGATTTACAGAGTTCATTGTTCTAGAAGTAATCCCAGCCTTCTCGGAGTAAAATATGACTTGACATGAGTACCTGCAACAGGTCCCTTGCTTCTCACAACCAGCTTTTTAGTTTAACCATCACCATCTTTTAGCAGAATCTTTTCACCTACATTGCTCACCCTGTTCTTAAACAGACTGTTCTCAAAGGCTGATATGAGATCTCCCATCCACAAAGCACCCCATGAAGTCCTGCTGAGTTCACATACAGTTTAAAGTTGAAATGAAATACAGAAGTATTTATAAGGCTTGTTTGGCACCAAAAAACTACAAAGCTTTGATGCTGCTGTTGTATCTTTAATAGCATACTTATGCAAAGGCGACCTTATCAGGCAGCTCAAATTCAGTCTTGGCACAATCTCCTGGCATCTCCTTTCACACCTTGGAAAACAGTGATGTATATCACCATAAACAGCCCACTCCCTCATAAAACACTAAACCTCATGTTTTGTATCAATGGTAAGCATTAAACAGAAATGCTACAAATGTGAAGACTCACAAAAACCTCTTTCCAGACAAATGTATTTTCCTTTTGTAGATGCTTTATGTGCATCACTTGTATTTCCCTTTCATTGATAAAAATGTAACCTATTTTCACTGTGCTATTATAGAGATACGAAGGCACTCAGAATTAATGGTTGTGCATTTGCTTTTGCTTTGCCAATACATTTAGATGCACACACATCCTTCTTGCCCTCAGTTCTATTAAACTGGTAATATCTCCTTCAATTCATAAAGCTTGGCTTCCCCATTTTGAAGAAACTCTGACACAAAAGGGGAATGTTATTAATACAATACCTCATTTTTTGATTGTGTGGCCTCCAGTTTCCCATTTTCTCCGTATGTGTAGAGCATAAAGTCTTCGCTAACAAGCTTTCTGGAAACAAAAATAAGCTACTGCTCTTTTTAACAGAGAAGAAGATTTACTTCTAGAAAGCAAGAAGTAAATCAAGAACCCTAGTAAGAAATACACAGTTAGCAGCACACTCATGCTAATTGATATTAAAATCCATGGATGTGAAACAAAATACCTGAAAATGAGCTGAACTACTTGGAAAATAAGTTATTTTGAAATCCTTTAACTAAAGTATCTGTAGAAAAGTCTCTGAGCAGACTACATTGCATCAGGGCCTGGGCTATTACAAGCTCAGGAATGAGGAACAACAGTAACAGACACATTTCTTACATACAACATGGCTAACAACCCTCCCTTCACTAGTAAGAAGCTAATATTGAGATGAATTCTAATGTTCCATAAGGATTTTCTGAATTGTACTATCTTGTGCTGCTAATAAATAATTAATTTAAATACATTTCTTCACAGCCAGAAAAAATATTATTCCCTTGCATTTGCAAGCTTGGATCATAGCAGAGACACTATTTAACAGTCATATTGTAATTAGCATAATCTCCCATTTAAATGGTTTCTTCTGGATTTTTTCAGTATAAAAATACTTGTCTATATGCAGCTAACTCCCAAGATGGTGTGATTCCTTAGAACACTCTACTGCATACTTATTTCTCTTCAGTTTTAGGAGATATGTTCCATTTCTGGTTTTAACTGAGTAAGAAAGATTGTCATCAGAATGCTCCTGAAAACAGAACAAAACATATCACTTGATTAGGAGAGTTTCTACTTGGTTATTTTATCCAAGCTTTGAGAAGAGACATCCAACTACTATGTGCATTTGAAGTATCTACCAAAACACAGATTCCTAACCCTTGTGCCTCCTATATGTCAGTCTCAGCAGCACACTGTATATTTTTCCCTATGGAAAGTTTAAATTCTATTAATCTATACATTTTCATTGAGAAGACAGAAGGGCACAGCACATGAATGCACCTTTTACCCAACTACCACATCGTGTTTCGTGACACCTTATGTAAATGACTCACAGATTCTTCCTTCCCTAATAGCTTTGCATGAAGATGACTAATGCTATTTCATTACCAGTTACTGCAGTAATTGAACTCGATATCTAGCACAAAGGTAGATGACCTGAGACTGAAGAAGAAAGGCTCAGATTATTCTCTTTTAACTCATTCATCTTTGCAACTCTGTGGCACCATTTCTACTAAGCGAGGATCAGCCCTTTAGGTGCTACATGGTTGAAATCCTCTGGTTATCCAAAGACCAGATACAATGAGCAAAAGGACACACACAGCATGGACATTAGTTCAAGTTCAAGATCTAATCAGACCTGGGAGAAATGGAAATATTCTTCATATTCCTTCTCCCTTTTATCTGACAAGGCTGTTAAAAGCACTAGAAGTTTGAAAGGCTCTAACTTAAAGGGCAGTTGCAGACCTTTGTGGGAACAAATTTACCCAAAACTAGTTGAAAACACAAAGAATCTGAAGACATAGTGCAGGGCACGATCCATCACAAAAATAATCTATATACACCATACACTATGTGTGTAACACTAGCATTGTGCAAAACAGCAACATCAGAAGAAAAAAACAGAATAACCAACCTCGTGATAAAATGGGTGATGTTTCTCTCTTCCTGTCAGACGAGGAATAACTATTTCTAATGTAGAAAGTCTGGATGTTTGTTCAGAAAATACACCTGAAAATAAAGAACTTTTGGATTATGCTGGGAAAGTCACAGAAATCAATGTTTTCATTCATGGCCAAGTTACTCTTGGTTTCTGAGTGTTGAAACTAGATGTATGCGGCCTCATTCCCTATAGCAATGCTGTTTTGACTGTATTTAAGGCTAATGACTGCAGCATTCCAAACACAACTGATGTAAAATATTAAAACCTGTGAATTTAAGCAAAAGTTTTCTTAAACAGGGTGTCCCAAACTGGCTGCAATCTTAGCTTTACCTCTTGGTCTTAGTTACTTACATTATAAACTGGGTATTAGCTCCATTTTTTCTCATTCCTTCATAGAGCCAATATCAAACCAAATTATTTTTTGACTGAAAAAAACATAAATCCCTCAACCGATATGATAGGAACTTTAAATAGAGAATCTCATGAACAAGAAAAAAAGAGTAATGATAAAAAATTCTTTCCTGTATTCAGTGCATACTTCGATAGTGATGAAGAAACAGCTGAGGTCTGGAGAGCTCAAGAGAAACTATTGAATGATTTAAACACAGTTTTTCTTCATTCTCACATATCCTGGATTATTAACTTTGTCTTTCAGTTTTGAAACAGTTTTACTTCTTCCATGATCTGCACTTCTAACCTGATGTACCACAGAAAACCCATGCAGGTACCCTCTCTGTGCACCCATCTGTCCCCTCACGGTAATTTCTGAAGTGAAAACCACCTGTGCAAAGGATGCTAACATCTCAGATAGAATTAAGTTCCTTCAAGCTTTGTGAAATCACTTTGTCAGTGCCAGGAAGCCTGTGCTGACCTGTGAATCCATAGCATGGCTCTATATAGACATATAGTACTATTGTTTTGAATGATAGATCCAACTTTACCAGGATATTTCAGAACTTATAGAGAATTGGAGAAAACTGTATCTCCATTAGCATATATTCAGCCCCCAAATAAAGTGTGGATTTTTTTTTACTGTGTACAGAGCTATTTGCTGTGCTATTGCCTCCTGTTTCCATTTAAATCACTTTACTCATATTCCTTTCCCTATTGCCCTGAATGAGGAATACTTCAGAGTTATCCTCTGGATGTAATTCTGCCACTTGCTGTGTGTATAATCCCGGCTCACAGCGTTGCCTCCAGCCACTGCCTGACATTGCTGCATTTTGTTTGTTCCAACCACAGCCAAACCCTTGCAAAACTTTGTGGCCTTTTACACTGTTATCAGGATTATCTCCAGAACATCATGTTAATGTGGAAAGCTACAGGTAAGAAGGCTGCTGAGTATCTGGTTTTAGGTGAATAGTTTATAAAGACAAAAACAATCTCTAGTGACTTTATAACTGTGTGAACTTGAATTCATCTTCCCTTTTCCTGTCTGCTCATCAGTCTGGTTTGAGTGCGATCAACAGAGGCAAACCTATTGCTTTTAAACAGTAATAACATGGGTTTTAACAATGGAAGCAGTTTCTTCCTTCTTAAATTGTCCTTGCATAAGGAAACAAAGAGATTTCTTCTCATTTATGGCAGTCCAAAGTCACCCTCAGCCTCCCACATGTCTGTGAAAGGAATTTATAATGGCAAAGGAGCCACAGAATCACTGATTCAAAGTGGAGAGGAGGATTCGTCAGTGTAATGGTGATCTCTACCCATTAGATAACATCAGGATTTCAAAAAGGTAGGTGCAGGTAGCATATATTTAACATTAAAGGCTGCCACTGCAACTAAAATGTGGAAGTTGCTATTGGCAAACAGGTCTCGGTCGAATGATCGTCTCTCGACATTTACTTCTTTGTTCTTAATCTTCAGCACTTTTACTACTAAATCACAAAATCCATCTAAATTCATATCTGCAGCCAAATCATAAATGGCAATGAGTTAATGAGGAGCTAAAACAAAACTGCAGGGATTTCCCTTGCATTACTGATGAAGAAATCTTTTTCTACAGTCTTTACTACTGATGAGAGTAAAGCGCAGTTCTCACAACCAGTGTCCTGTGCGGAAGGGGGTGTATTTACGTACCTGCTACATCCTGGAGGAGAAACCACAAAGAGCTCAACTATAAAAAGCTTCCAACCTGGATTCTTTTCCCTTCACCTCTTTCTTTATTTTCTCAATTAGCAGGTCAGCTAATAGCCTAATGCCTGGGGAGAGCCAGGGCTTGATTTCAAAGCTGTGCAACATTATGATCAGGACCAGAGAATATGAGAAGACTAGGAGAAACTTTCTGAAAACATGAGAAAAACTGAAATGAATCTTACCTTTCATCCCAAAAGGTTTTCCAGTTAAAGTTAGTCCAAAAGTGAACAAAAATAGGCTGTGTTTTAACATTTCCTGGAGAAACTACTACAGTAACCCAGCAGACACTGTGAACCTGGCTCTATGCAGGAGAACTAGAAGAACAAGAACCGTCTGCTCCGAAGGTAAACAGCAGAAAAAGCACTTGGATGCTTCATCTCTGCTAAGGAAACGGGAAGTAAAATTTAATCCATTAGGCTTTCAAAAAAAAAACTGGTTAGACAGCTTAATGCAAATAAAAAGCAGCACAGGCTTAAATGCTGATTGCAGAAAGAGCACCAACCCATGCCAGGATCAAACTGGTTTATTCCAAAGGACTTTACTGCCCCAGTGAGATCATATGAGATTAGAAACACGCTACCGATGGATAAAATAGGTTGTTTAGAATGGTGATTGTCAGCTCAGTGAAAAAACTAGCATAGAGCAATCTACTCTTAGAAATTTCAACATGTTCTTTTCCCTTTTTTTTTTCACCTTTACTTTAAAAATAACCAAAATACAGTGTATATGAACACATGGAAACCCCACAAACTCATGGAACCCCCCAAAACAAGGGTTGTACCCAACCCTGCTATATTAAAAATAGTTCTTCTCACCAAAGGTCTGTGACTTGATGCAGCTCATCCCTCTTCTAGGTTCAGAATAATCTTCCGAGGCATCATACAACCACATTGCCACCAAAAGC